TATTCATAAGATTTTCAGTGGCCAATTTTTTCAGAAGTGGCCTTCTTCCTAGTCTGTCTTAGTCTGGAAACTCTGCTGAAACATCCACCATGGGTGACCCTGCTGGTATTTGAAATACTGGTGGCATAGCTTCCAGCCTCACAGCAACACGCAAGCTACAACAGTATGACCAACTGACAGAGGAGTGGCTGGTAGGTAAGGAATATAATGGGAAGCTGCAGAGCTGAATAAATGACACTCTTTAGTAGCATTATCTATATTTTTTATTGAGAGGTACAAAATACATGTGCTCAGTGCTTGCTAATTTCATCTGCAAATGACCCACTATCATAAAGCATTACAGAGACCTCCACTAGACTTTTCATCAAGATTGTTTGCTCTGCCATCAATTACTCATATATAGAGTGCTGCTGTTCTGGAATTTTCTTCCCTCTATATAGGAGCCCAAGTGATACCATTTTTAATTAAACAAACAAAACAACAGAATCGATATACTCAGGTTGTCTTAGTTTTAAGGATTTCTGGATTTTGTCCTTGGAGGAGGTTCAGGATCTTCCCAAGGTCTGGGTCCTCGAATGTTCTTCCAATCTTCAAAAGTGGAGTCCTTTATTTTCTACAGAACCACAAAAATTAAAGTATTCATATTAGTATAGGAGCTCTGTGGCTTTGATCAGGACGTCACTAAAATAAATGAACAAATAAGTGAATGGAAAGAATCCAGTGAACTCTCAATTACAATTTTAGCAAACAAAACAAGCATGATAATTAAATGTCATATTTCTTTAACAAAATAAAGCTACTAAAACAGAAAAAGAATTAATATCCTTTATTTTTGAGAGCTCAAAGGGAGAAGATGGAAAATAAAAGTCAAGATCTAAAGGTTAATCCAACATAATGACTAAAAGTGTTGGCACAGGTGGTAATTTTAAGTTGGAGGCTCTACAGTCTGTGATGAAGAAGAAAAGAGACCAAGATGATCTGTCCGAGCTCTAAGAAATGAGCCTGGGCTTAAGAAATTAAAAAATAAAAAAAGACATTTCTCACAGCTACCATGAGCAAAACCCTTTTGGGCAGTCAGACCAAGTTTCATCTATAGTTTGGATCAGCCTACCTTCATTTTCAGC